TAACACTAAACCAAAAGAAACATATCTACCAACATTAGAATAAAAACAATACACTAAAAAGCTATACCTTCTAACATTGGAACAAAAACTACTGAACAAGGTCATGCCTTCTAATACTTGAATAACAGCAGTACACAATAGCGCCATACCTTCTATCACCAGAACAAACACAATACCCCAAAAGGCCATACCTTTTAACAGAACAAACACAATACCCAAAAGGCCATACCTTTTAACAGAACAAACACAATACCCAGAAAGGCCATATCTTTTAACAGAACAAAAACAATACCCAAAATAGCCATACCTTTTAACAGAACAAACACAATACCCAAAAAGGCCATATATTTTAACAAAACATACACAATACCCAAAAAGGCCATATCTTTTAACAGAACAAACACAATACCCAAAAAGGCCATATCTTTTAACAGAACAAACACAATACCCAAAAAGGCCATACCTTTTAACAGAACAAACACAATACCCAAAAAGGCCATATCTTTTAACAAAACAAACACAATACCCAAAAAAGCCATACCTTTTAACAGAACAAACACAATACCCCAAAAAAGCCATACCTTTTAACAGAAGAAACACAATACCCAAAAATCCATACCTTTAACAGAACAAAACAATACCCAAAAAGGCCATACCTTTTAACAGAACAAACACAATACTCAAAACCCATCCTTTTAACAAAACAAAAACAATACCCAAAAAAGCCATACCTTTTAACAGAACAAAACAATACCCAAAAAGGCCATACCTTTTAACAGAACAAAAACAGTACCCAAGAAGCCCATACCTTTTAACAGAATAAAAATAATACTCAAACAGAACACCTTTTAGCAGAACAAAAATAATGCACAATAAAGCCATACCTTCTAACATTGGAAAAAAACTATCCAACAAGAGTTTACTATTCTATCTTCTACGAACTTATGAGTGAAAGCAAAGAAGAATATGTGATAATATTTCAATCACATTACATCTTCCAAATCCAGTTTAGTTGTTATAGTTTAAAGCTCCATAATGAACTATCTGGGCTATGTTCACCGCGGAGAACCGAACCCCGAATTTTAGCATTTTTTTAAGTTAGTAAACGACAAAAATAATAGTTGGTCAATGTGCAAAAGAAGACGCTCTCTGTATTACTTTGTACATAATCTCCAAAATTAACCAGCGATTACTCTTGCGCGGAGACTTATAATTCAACTGTAATAT